CAGAGTCCAAGGTGAAGGAAAGCGAAGCAGAGGCGTCTGGCAACGGAACGACGGCAGAAGCACCAAGACTACACAAAGCAGGGGATCCTACGCCTGACGCAGCAGGGGAGGCTAAGCTAGGCACACCTACACTAGGCAACAATGAGTAATAAGCGGGAAGCACACTAGAGTCATCAGCATACATCACATGCAGAGCAGCAACTACGGCATCCATGTCCATATCAAATATCTGAATCTTACGGCTAAGCAAACTGTGCCAGTCCGGGAGGTCTGGCGACGGGCCGAAGCGCTGACGAAAGAGGTCGTCCAGGCGACGAAAACAGCGGGGAGTGGAGTGACCGAGCCTACCGCAAACGAAACCGCGGCGAGGACCGGTCTGGATCTGGTACTGACAACGCCCGCCACCAGAGCCACCACTCGGCACACCACCACGCGCCCGGCCACCGCCAGCGCTGGGCCACCCGGGCGGGAGGACACTCGTCTGCCGCGTCTGCGACGGCTGCTGCGAAGGCTGCGACTGCGGCGGCTGCTGCGGCTGCTGCAACTGCAGGGGCGGCGACTCAGCTGGACTGGGCAGGGTCCCCTCGTCCGCTCCAGTACCAGACGCCCCGACCCCACCACTACCCCCTCCCGCACCCCCGCCGCCGCCGCCGCCACGCCCAGCCTTGGGGCGGCGGCCCTTCCCCGAACGAAACTGCGCTGCAGCAGCAGTCTCAGCCACTGCGGCAGAGCCGTCGGAGAAGGTACACTGGGCGGGGGCACAACCCTGAAAGATAGGGACCGGCACGACACCGCTCGCCTGGGCGATGGAGCGGTGACGGGTCTCTATCACAGTCAGGGTGTCTACAAAGTCAGTGTGGGTGAGGTCGGCGGGGTGAATGCTAAGGAAGCGGTCGCGGGCGACAGCAAGGCGGTCAGGAAGGCGGGTGGCAAGCAGGTAGAGTGTAGAGGTAATGGGCGGCTGGTGGGCTCTAAGCTGTGCGTCAGTGCAGGCAGCGCGCCAGGTCTATCGAGCGCAGGTGGGCAGCGAGGTCAGAGACAGTGGGGAAAGACGCAAGGTCAGGAAAGAGCATCGGGAGGATCAGGCGACCCACCGAGGCAGCCGGAGGGGTGGAATAGCGCTGGATGACAGCATCTAAGTATGCCTGAGCAGTGGTGAGAGACCTAAAGCGAGGGCGCTTGGACGGGGGAAGGGCGTTGCTGATGGCAAGCTGTGCGACAGCATCGCAAGAAAGCCAGACAGAGCGCGCACGGGCAGTGGCAGCAGTGGAATCGCGCTCAGTGGGTGTGGAGTCAACGGGCAGAATAGCAGGGGGGTCTGGGCAGGGGAGCGTACCGTCAAGGTGTGCGGAAAGCGGTTCACCATCCTGCCGCTGGCCAGTGAGTTGGGGACGGAGGTCGGCACGCCACGCGTCGAACTCGAGAGGCTGGCCTTCAGCGTCGAAGCGAAGCTCCGCCGCCATCAGGAACAATGCAGTGCAGTGCAGGGCAGTGCAGCAAGGTGGAGTGCGGTGCCGTGCGGTACAGTGCGGTGTAGGGCGGTGCAGTGCGGTGCCAGGCATTACAGGGTGGTGCGGGGCGGTGCAGTGCGGGGCAATACGGTGCAGGGCAGTGCAGGGCAGGGGGGGGGGGGGGGGGGGGTGGGACCGTACCAGTGAGGAGGACCGGGGCCGGGGCAGGGACGAGCGCAGGGGCCGGGCCGGTGCAACGGGGCCGGGCGGGCGCGACGGGGCCGGGCGGGCGCGATGGGGCCGGGCTGGTGCGACGGGGCCGGGCGGGTGCGACAGTGCCGGGCCGGTGCGACAGGGCGGGCGAGCAGGACGGTGGTCCAGGAGGGGTGCACCGGGGCGGGCGGGGGCGACGGGCGGCGGGTGCGACGGGGCCGGGCGGTTGCGACGGGGCCGGGCAGGGGGCGACGGGGCCGGCGAGTGCAACGGGGCCGGGCGGGCGTGACGGGGCCGGGCTGGTGCGACGGGGCCGGGCTGGTGCGACGGGGCCGGGCTGGGGCGACGGGGCCGGGCGAGTGCGACGGGGCCTGAAGCGTGACGGGGCCCAGGAGGGGGGGGGGTCGATGCGGCCCAGGAGGGGCGCTACGGGGCCCAGGAGGGGCACGACGGGGACCCAGGAGGGGCGCTACAGGGGCCCAGGAGGGGCGCGACGGGGCCTAAGGAGGGGCGCTACGACGCCCAGGAGGGGCGCGACGAGGCCCAGGAGGGGCGCTACGAAGCCTAGGAGGGGCTCGACGGGGCCCAGGAGGGGCGCTACGGGGCCTGGGAGGGGCGCGACGGGGCCTGGGAGGGGCGCTACAAGGCCCAGGAGGGGCGCGACGGGGCCCAGGAGGGGCGCTACAGGGCCTAGGGAGGGCGCGACGGGGCCCAGGAGGGGCGTTACGAGGCCCAGGAGCGGCGCGACGGGGCCCAGGAGGGGCGCTACGGAGCCCAGGAGGGGCGCGACGGGGCCCAGGAGGGGCGCTACGGGGCCTGGGAGGGGCGCGACGGGGCGTGGGAGGGGCGCGAGGGGGCCCAGGAGGGGCGCTACAGGGCCAGGAAGGGCGCGACGGGGCCCCAGGAGGGGCGCTACGGGGCTTAGGAGGGGCGCGACGGGGCCTGGGAGGGGCGCGACGGGGCCAGGAGGGGCGTTACAGGGCCCAGGAGGGGCGCGACGGGGCCCAGGAGGGGCGCTACGGAGCCCAGGAGGGGCGCGACGAGGCCCAGGAGGGGCGCTACAGGGCCTAGGAGGGGCGCGACGTGGCCTGGGAGGGGCGCGACGGGGCCCAGTGAGGGGTGCGACGGGGCCCAGGAGGGCGCTAGAGGGGTGAGCGGAAGCGGTAGGTGGGGGGGGGGGGGGGGGGGGGGGATCCTACCTACGCGTGATACCATATCGAAATTGAGAAGTGAATAATGGTTAGAGTGAGAGTACACACAGATATACCTAAGTGTTGTACTCTCTAAGAGGCGACCCTATACAGTCTATACAAACATGACAAATACACATGTTTGACAGAACTACTTGCAACGTCTCCTTACTTACTCGATCAAACACTAGGCCAGCTAGGTAGCACATCTCCTCATGACATTTTAGGGTGTGATATCTTTCAACAACCTCCTCGATGGAGCACAACTGGATTACTGTACTTTCCACAGCACGTGGACGTTCGACTTTTTGATCAACTCAAAAGCCGTCTTCACGTGGGAAGAGTTCTCCCCCCCGGTGTGATTGGTCGTAACTTCGGCGCGCTGGATGCTCGGATGTCTCCAATTCGTGCTCCCTCTGCTGACAAAGATAACACCCGAAAAGGGTTTTTATGACACATCTAATTTCCCCCCACCCATTCAAGGCAAGTTGAAATCGCGTTGAGCCATACGCCATTCCCAGATTCTCCCATTCATTTCACACCACTCCCAATGCAACCAGGGAGAGTAGAACATGCAACTTGCACCTCGTCCCCCCTCTCTCGACTCGCTCCCAGCGCACCTATTTCCGCCTTGTCACGGCCAGCGCATTCCGTGGCTGAGTCAGAATGATCATCCGAGGGCAAGCTTCCATTGAACAACAGCGCTTCTGTGGTGCTGGATTCTAGCGCGCGAGCAATTGTTCCGTTATCGGTGACGTAATTCCTCTTTCCTCTGACTCGGCAAAAAATAGATGGAGCATTGACGTGCTTTGGTATGATCAAAGGCCTCTCGATATCCTAGGGGTTACCCTGCAGTTTCCGAGTTTGCCCAGGATCCGACCCGCCCAGGCTGGGTAGCCCTAAAAGTTTGACTGTTTTTAACTAGGGAAGCGAACCTATACATTAGATTTTTATGGGCGGGTCTATCCCATACTCGGAAATTGGCCGTGGGATAATTCCGGCTACCTGTCCATGGACGGGTATCGATATTCTGAATGCGTCAAAAGCAGGGCTAGGTTAAACATTAACCCTGTTTTCCTTGAAAAAGCAGTGTAGTTACCATGACTTCCAGAGGCATGGATCGAATCCGTCTCGGCTTCCAGCGCCACGTTAGAACAGAAGTTCGTTAGAAGATCTCTAGACAGGGGCTGCATCCCTTCACGATAAATCCAAAATATGCAACACCTTTCCTGTCCAGCGCTTCATCAGCGGAGCGGCATGGTTGGACCTGCACATGCAATCCACTCGCAAATGACCTCATTTCTGCGATCCAAGTCCAGCAAGAAACGAAACTGGCATTGTATGGGCGGGTGAGCTGAGCTGAGCAACCAGCGCGGTGGAAACACACGCTTGAGCCACATACACGAGGAGAAGACCGCCGCCAGCGCGGCAAAGTATGCTGGGCGTGCTTCGAAGAAACACAGCACTGCTGCAACGCCACACCTTTCGTGGACGAAACTCCTCCTGCTGGCATGCCAGCGCAGACGGAATTACAGGGAGTTGGAATTCTGACGAAGGTTTTTTTTTTTTTTTTTTTTTTTTTTCAGGCAAGAAATCACAAAATCAAACTGCGGAAAGTATGGACTTCGACTTTTACTCGAGAGACCATTTCAGCACCCAACGCAACTGGTTGGAGTGGTATTGGAGACCCAGTAGCGAGAGGAACACTCGGGTCCAGCGTCGGGTGTAAACAACAAGCATGAAACAAGAAAATCTATTGCTGAGAAGGACCAGCCAGGAAAATCTCGGCCGTTCTGCAAGGCGAAAAGACGTCCTTTCCCCCACACCTTCTAACCGTTCTCCCTTCACCCCATCTCCACCATTCCCAGCCACACTAAAAAGCATCTCTCTCTGCTGTGCTGTACGGCATGCATGCATCCCCCACGCCATGGTTGTCTCCTCTCCCCCAACCTCTCTTGCTCTCACTCCCTCGAGGTGTGCGTGCATCAACAGACAGACACCGCACTCTGAACTAGCGCTTGCCTTACTCGATCATCCATCCGCTGTTGTACAGGATCATCCCCCCCCCACCCCCAATTGTCTCCTCCAATCAATCCCCTCCAATGTCCTAGATAAAAGCCACCCTCATGCATTTCAATAACCACCCATCGAATTTGCACCTTCACACACTTTCTCGAGACTGCCTTACTCTCCTCACCGAGCGTTCCTGAACCTGCCACAGCCACAATTCGCCTATATCCATGGCACTTCACTTCAGCTCACCCATCCCACACAACTCGCACTTCCACATGTTCCTCCCTCTCACCCCAGCCATGGAGCCTGTCCCAGCTATAGGCTTTCCGCTCTTCGCGGACTCGCTACACGCAAGCAAGCGCCTTCGATCCTTCTCATCTTCCCCCGTCGCCGTCCCTCCAGCAACTCTCCTCGACACGACCCTGAGCTTATCCTCCTCTAATCCCATCGCCACCCCGCCGCCGTGCCGGCCGTGCCACGGCGCAACATTGGAACAGTGCTCCCCTGCGCCTTGCGCGCCGTGCGACGGCAACACCAATGCTGCGCTCCCCTTCCTCGCGATGCTCCGCCGGTTCAAGCCGCAAGGAGCCCACATGATTCCGCATATCTCGCACATGATCAGCGCCAGCCCGCTCCAGCGGACCAATCAGCCGCTCGCCACGGTTCATGCAGCAACTCCCGCGCGCAGTTCCCGCCGCGCGCTGTCCGCTCCCGCCTGTGGAAGCCCTCCGCCGCGCCGTGAAACGCTCGCACGCCGCAGCCGGCCTCGACGAGGAGGTTACCAGCCGCCCTCGGGCCGCACTCCCCTCAAATCTCCCCTCGCATTTGCCGTCAAATGCGCTCGCAGCCGGTGCCGCGGCTTCGGGACTCCCGGCAGTGCTTCCGTCCGACGCTGACGTGGCGGAGCGGCTCGTGAAGTACGACAGGCTGACGTCATCTCTCCGTGGCTCCCTACCGCCCGCGAATCTCGCGCAGTGGGACAAGGCGGTGGGCAAGCTTAGAGACCGAGTCGCGATGAAGGAGGAGTTTGGAAACGACGTGAACGGGTTTCTGCTGTTCCTCCACGCGCAGCTCGGCGCGCAGCAGCCGTCGGCGCGCAAGGCGCTTCAGCTGTTCGCGGCATTCAAGCAGGCGCAGAGGCAGAAGCAGAATGCGGGAGCCGCCGCGATGGGAACCGAAGTGTCGGCGGCGGATTCGCAGCGTGTCTCTGTAAAGGTTCAAGCTCCTTTTCGCGACTACGTGTCGTCAGACGACGACACGACTTCCGTGTGCAGCAACCACCCCGAACCTGCGGAACTGATAGAGGCTCGGGCCGAGCCTCAGGCTGGCTCGACACTCCCCGCCTGAACTCATCTGGTCCCGTGCCTTCTGCTAGCGGGTTTCAAGGGGAGGTGTGTCGCAGCAGCGGAATGTCGAGCAGCTGAGGTTGGGTCAGCCGGGTGCTGCCCTCGGGATTGACGCCACGTGTCCTGCTGTTGCGAAGAAGAT